TCATGGGCGTGGCACGGTCCTTTGAGACTAGCAGCTCGTGACTAGCATGGGGTGATGTCTGCATTCGTGTGACGAGAACCCTGCCAAGCCTGTTTCTCGTGTGCATGTGGAAATCCTGCTCGACTGTCCAGGACAGTAGCCGCCCTGCAACCATTGCGGGACGTCGTGCAGCAACTGCGGGAGGATGTTCAGGGCATGGGTTGGACATTCCCCGCAACTGCCCATGGCCCTCAGAGTTCAGTGTCTCCAGTCAGCTGTAGCCTGCTGTGAGCGTCGCCAATTCTATTGCAGCTTCCGCCACATACCAGACTGGCTCAGGTAGGAGCTGGGCTTGCAGAAGCCCGGTAGAGAGTACAAAGGGCAAGAAGCCCACCTGGGGGGCACATGCGCAAACTGAACAATGTAGGTTGACAGCAGACCTCAAACATGCAAAGTGCCCAGAAGCACAGGGCTAGCGCCGAGCTAGAAATTCTGAACTGGTACGTTCTTCGGCTCCAACAGCTGGAGCAGCAGCCTCCCTTAAGTTGGCCCTTGCAGGGCAGGCAAATGCCAAGGAAAGCGCAGCGGCAATCATGTATAACACTCATCATAGCTACTGCGCAGAACTTCCTTAGTGCCAATACTTCAATAGTCTCGAGAACGCAGTGGCCAAACAGAGAACAGAGAACACAAGCTTTTCACGGGCAAAGGCCCTTCTACCCCGTGGGTGGCCCACTTCAGCCCAGAGGTAGGCCTGCTTCGGTGTACCAACAACTTAGAGGGATCAAAGCAGAAGGCTTCTCAATGTGAAAGGGATGATAGAGAGGTTCCAAGGATTGCGTGCTCGCATTGGTCCTTTGGTGGAAGGTTCTCATCGCCAGGCCGTTGATCTGGGTGCCATCGTAAGCTAGCTGGAGTTTGATAATCAGACATAGTCAGATAGAGCTGACAGTCTGTCGTGGATTCTGTCACGGATTGCAAAGCCTTACACGCAGTTGCTTTTCAGCACATGTAGCCTAGTGTCTGACACTTGGCCTCCCCAAGTGCGCCCAAGAGCCCAAGCACTAAATCTCGGAACAAACTGCAGCACGGGATCTGGCAACATGCAGTCACCTGGCTGGGTTCTTGGGCTTGTTGTTGGGTGAGGGCTGCCCAGCTACCACATTCCATGTGGTTGCGGTAATCGTACCATGATCGGACTGAGCATCAGTTTCTAAGATTATAAGAATCCTGCGAGAGGGTTGCAAAGTCTCAGCGTCGGGTTGGGAGCCCACAAAATTGACACAGACAGTGTTGCCTGTTTTTGTAGATGACACACTTTCAGCATTACTGATTCGGCGCGACTGTCCCTACATTGATGAGTCTCCAAGCCCCTCCTGAACGGTGTCCCCTCTTGCATGCTGGACCGGTTTAAAAAGAAAGCCCTCCAGAACCCGAGGGCCATGGCCAAGCACCGTGGGAACAAGATCAGCGAGTCGCCGCCCCCCTTCCGGGAGAGAGAAGGCACCCTCGGGCTCTAAGATTTACTTACCTGTGGTTAGCAGGGAATGATGGAATCGGTTTAGTTGAAGGGCCTATTACTAGAGATTAAATGGGGCTATTGTGTTTGTCCATTCCTTGGCCGATTTTCAGCCATGGCGTAGGCCTTACCATGCCTCAGGATGCAGCGTGCGCAGTTTAGATTCTTCCTGAGGTGCGGGGGTGAAACCTTCCTGTCCTGCCGTTTCTGCAAGCTGCGTGTACCATCCTTGAGCTCGGGAATCAGGAGTGAACGTGTCGATAATTATCAGCGGATATCAGCAGTGACAACGTCAGAAACAAGACACACTTGCAGAGATTGCAGATGTATACCCTCTAGGATCCTCTAGGATCACCATGACGACAAAGAAGAGGCCTCGCAAATTGGGAACCTCAAGGAATCTAGGTTCGTTCGGTACCATGAGCAATGGGTCCCAGGCTTCTGTCGGTCCTGATGGACAAAAGAACCGAGGGTTGCGGAGATTTGTGTAAGGGGGCTTTTCCGGAAAGGCGGTGTCCTGATGGGCACGCCCAGAAGATTTTCAAACGCCAGACCTCATGATGCTTGAGGAGCGGTCCAAAGTGGGGTCTCCTTCAAGCTCAGACGTCCTTCAAGTCCATTCAATTGAGGTTCCAGAGCAGATCGAGGTTCCTCAAAATCGGGTTCCTTGCAGATCCCTCAAAGTACTCTTGGGGCAGGCAGTCCAGCAAACCTCCTCGGCTCCGAGGGCTACCGGCAAGATCTGGCCGGGACTCCCAGTGGAGAACTTTCTGCTCGCTGCTGTGCGACTTGGATGGGTCGGCCGGTTAGAAGGGCTGTGTACCAACTCCAAAAGAAAGACCAGGATCTGTACAGTACCGGAGCATCGCAAGACGTGCTCACATACCCATGCAAATTCTCAGTCCGGGAGAGCTGGATTCCTCGATGCCTGACTTTCTTTCCAAGCCCAGCTACCTTGCTTTGGATCCTTGGATGCTAGGCCACGCTGGATGTGCGCATTGAGCGGATTTTAGAGGCACGCGGAGCACTGTGCCTCCTGATGATTATGGCCACCGCCAGAATTATGAACATCGTCGCTTCTGTGGTCATTGCAACCTGTAAATTCAGGTGTCATCCATGCAACTGTTGTTGGGGGCAAGGTGTTTTCTTGGTTGCGGACTTATTGGTGGGGGCATCCCATTGCTCCAAAGCAGGACTTGTACCAGACCATGCAGTTTCTCATCTCAGAGTGGTTGCAAAACAGGACAGAACAGCAGCACTGGTCCTAAAACAGGCGAGGAGTTTCATGAGCTTGTTTTCGCCTGCTTTAAGATGACTGTCCTGGCAAGTCTGGGCCGTCAACACCATTTGCAAGCCGCAGGCTCAAACAGAGAAGGTGGCTGCTGCAACCGCAGAGGCTGATAGCATTGGTGGATGGGTATAACTGTCGGGAGAACGACGTATTCAGTGGCATTACTAAAAGACTGCTAGCTCTAGCCGGGGGGCTTCGAAGGGAAGGCATGCAGATTTGCTGTATCCTGGCAGACACCACAATGACCGGATTCCTCTGAACCCTGACAGGGAGCTGCAGTTGATTTGTGTGCAGGGATGGCTTTCGCAGATAGGGATTTCTTCTTAGTCTTCGCGCTTTTGTGACAGAGGTTGGGCCCCAAACCCCCAAGCGGGATGACGTGCGGTGAGCCTGCTGTTTCGGGTTGCATAGGAAGACCCAAGCTTGGCACCAACGCGGACTTCGTAGCACTTGCGTATCCCGCTGTAGAAGAGCAGCTGCTAGCATTCGGCCAGCTGCCAACACGGAAGTGTTCCTGGAACTTGACATGGTTGTGCACGTACAGCTATATGCATTGCGCCACAATGATTCTCCAAATTATCATGTCAGCATTGGCTATCCCAGGATGTGTGAGACGCCGCAGCCCTTACTCAGGGTCGACCTCCTTGCAAAATGCGGCCTAAGGCCGGTGCATGTAGAGCGACCAAATGCGGCCTTAAAAGAGGCCTTCTGAACTTATGGCTTTTTGAAGTAGTTGGCGTGTCAGCCCGGGTCCTCTCAATTGAGATTACCGGGACTGACGTTGCCGATTGCACCGTGCCATGTCGGAGCCTCGAATATGCCATTCGACAAGTCTCTCCAGGAGTCAGGGCGATGAGCTTGGGAGTGCACACCATCTAGATCAAGTACCACAGCCGTTCATGTTTTTGAGATGTAGAGTCGGCTGCATGCGACGGAGCAATTGTCAGAGCTCTTGGTTTTGCTTCGCAAGTATTCAGTTTTCTCAGGCCCAATGTGGGCAGTAGCTGATTTAGGGGAGAAGCCCGCTTGGATGCTAACTAGTCTCGTGGGAGGATATAGCTTTATGAAAGCTTTTGCGTAGCTTGCACTATGCAAGCTTCACACTGAGTAGTATGCTCGCGTGGGTACGTGTGCCATGTGTGACATAATGGGGGACAGCATGGAAGACTGCTTGAAAGGGAGTAGGACCGAAGCTCGTTTCAGATGAGGATGCAGCGATAGCTGAAGGTGCGGGGAACTTCAAGGCTAATTTTGTGGGCTGTTCATGGATCCCGCCAACTCAGTTCAATGGGGCGAGGGAACTAGTTTGCTGTTGTGCGGCTGCAAGGTCGTTCGCAATTCATGAAAAAAAGAGAGCAACGGAGTATGTAAAGGATGTCAAGGAAAACGAGACGGAGAGGAAGTGTGTATAAGCAAAGCAGAGAGACAGAGAGAGAGAGAAAGAGAGAGAGCATCATGTATTAGAGGTCAATGTACACTACACAAGCATGTGGCCGCCTAGTCTCACTAGCATGCGCAAACTTCAAGTGTCCACAGTATGGCAACACTACCCACTCCTACCCAAATCTAAGACGCAGCTTTTACCAGGTCCTCCACACCGCAGACTCAGCCATAATGTGGGCTGGAGGGGTGAAAGATCAAACCACGAGGCCTAACAGGGGCTGGGCAGGAGCCCGGGGTGATCCTCCAGGATCGCCCCACAGCCCGCATGAATCAAAGAAAGAAAGAAAGAAAGAAAGAGCATCACGTAGATTGAAGGTAAACCACTCCCCCCTCTCGCGCCTCCAACCAAGAAACAAGAAACAGGACGAAGGGGATAAGGGCTTCAGGGTCCTGCTTAGCCCTTAGAAGAAGCGAGTCAGGGGGAGGGAGAGAGGCGGAATATGTGTTTGTGCATGGAAGCAAGGCTTTGAGAAAGCAAACCAGGAAGCTAGAAGTTCTGAAGTTCCTGCCACAGCGACGCATAGGAGACAATATCAAAATTGGTGCAGGCTTATTCACCGGCGCGCTCAACCGCAGCTTGGCTTTTTTAAGTTGCTTCCTTAAGCAGGTACACAAGACAAGGTGGTGACGTGGAAGCACATGCAGTCTAGAGGAGCAAAGCATGCCACTTCAGCCCCATGATGCAGCCATCAACCCTGCATTTTGCATCCTGTACTGCGGTACGTGCCAGGACCCTGCCGATCATAAAAGCCAGCCTGATGTCAAGACATGAGCCAGCCAGTTGCCACCTGTCCAACTGCTGCAGAAGGCAATCTCAAACCAAGCGACTTCGGCAAGGCAAACTTTTCAATTGAAGGATACTCCGTGGATGGGAGCCCATGGCTGCATGCAGAGCGAAGAAGGAAATACTGACAATGTAATGCAAGTTGTGCCAATGATTGGTTTGTGGGGTTTGGTGTACCTTGCTTTTTTCAAGCTGGACTGTGCCATGATCTGCGTGCAACGCAGTCACCCAGGACTGTCTTTGACCTGGAAAAGGCTGGCCGCCTTATGCGCCCTACAACAGAGGGTTGGCACTCATAGCGTGGGATGCTGTCATAGGACTTCTGTTAGTTGCCCAGGCCTGGAAAACCTGTCAGATTTGCTGGCGGATGTCCAGGTACCTAGATGCTGCTGCGGGCGAGGTCTCTATTCGGAAGATGACGGTCAAAAATGGATTCTGTGCTGCTCTATCCGATGACCGCCGCTTGGCCGCAAAGGGTGGAGCTGGTTGAGAACTCATGCCTGCCGACTTCTACTTGTGAGGGCCAGATGAGTAGCTTTAGATGTCCAGCGAATCTTGCAGGAAATGGAGCTGGCTTCCACCTGGTACAGTCTACTGCAAGGCTGCGTGACATTCACATGAGTCGCTAGGATTGCATGGCTTGCTTCGGATGACCCGTGTATCCACATTTTGGCCAAAGGGTAGTGTTTCGTGCCAGCTTTTAGATTCAAGGCCAAAGTAGCTCAACTGCCAGGACTCCCAGGTGCAAAGTTACGAGAGGCAGTTCCAGAGCCCACTCAGGATCAAAGTGCTGTGCGATACATGTCTTGTGTGCCTGTGCTTGTGTACTTGAGGTCAGATGGATTGCAGTTTTGAGGAAACTCTTCCTCGCGAGTTCAACGGGGGCGCTCTGTATTTCAAAGACTCCACGGCCCATGTGCAGAATGTGCACGTCACAGATCCTCTTCAAGCAGTGGGAACCGATTTTTTCATTAAAGTACGTGCTACGTCATCACTAGTAACGTCTAGCCAAGTCTGGCAGTCGTGTGAGCCTAAGGACTCAGTGGCGAACCACGGAGCTGGGGTGGGATCGTGGGGTACAGATGCGTCGATTGTCGAGGACTCCTCCTTTGAGCGGCTGGAGGGATTGCGATGGGGCGGAGCCATGCTGGTAGAGGAGCATGCTCACACCGAATTCCACCGATGTTGGTTCTCCCATTCTTATTCACCATATGGAGGCATTCTGGATGATGGAGGTCAGGCAAGCCCTTTGTATAGAGACTGCGTCTTCGATCATGGCACAGCACTTCACGGCTCTGCCTACTACGGTTATGGTAGCTTGTTTGCATTGGGCCATTGGTGCTCGCCCCCGTGCAATGGTTACAGTCACGCAGGTGTCATAAGACACCCTAGCATGCAAGGTCTGTCAGCCTCTCGATTCTACAACGTGATCATTCAGCACGGCAAGGCCTTGCCTTAGATAACTTAGGCCCTCTCACAATGTCCGCGTGCAGAACACTGGTGCTGAAAGGATCTGAACAGGTTCTAATCTGTTCAAATTTTTGCCGATGGAGTTACTGTGCTGCAGCTGTTCCTCGGGGGTCGAGCATGCACAGATGGCTCAGGAAAGAAGTTGAGCTTCACGAAGATCTTTCGCCCACACATCGTACTAGCCAAGTTCTTTTCAGCTTGACCGTGGCATTCTGATATGGCCCCCATATAACCTCTATATAACGCCTATATAACCCCTTATATAACCCCTTATATAACCCCCTTATACAACCCCCTTATATGACCCCTTATATAACCCCCTCATATAACCCCCTTGTATAACCCCTTATATAACTCCTAACCCCTAAACACTTAACCCTATAAAGCCCTTTATATAGCCCATGGCTTCTGAATGCAGGCCACATCCTCTGCAGCGGTCTACCTGACGGCCACTGTAAACCCCACCTTCGAAAATGCTGCTGGGCTTGTTAGCATATTGGGGTTCTATAGGGATAATGGAAAAGAAAATGGAAACCCTAGGTCCCTTTAAAGGGATATATAGGGTTTTATTAGGGTATATATTGAGGTATATATTGGGGTTAATGGAGAATCAAATGGAAAAGAAAATGGAACATGAAATGGAAACTAGGGAATATATTAGGGTTGATATTGGGGGTATATTGGGGTAATGGAAAAGAAAATGGAAACTACTATAATGGGGATTATATAGGGGTATATTATGGCTTTTTATAAATTTGCTGCTTCATGTGGGAGGTTGTGCGACGGCTGCCTTAGATCTGAAGCCCTGAAGTCTGATGCAGTGAGCAAAATCTTGAAAGTGTTTGAGCCAAGATTACGGTGTTGAACAACACTGCGAACGTCGACGTCGGCGGTGTGCGCTCCTTCGTCCCGCTGGGGATCCTGTTCAAGAATTCTCGTTTTATTGGCAACCGCATGGCGAGCAACGGGGCTGATGCTGCGATCCAGGTGCGTGCTGGGCAATGGGACCTCCTTAACGAGCAACGCTTGGACATGTCTACCTAGGAGCAGGTGACGGGATTCCAACGAAGAAAGGCGTTCGTTCAGCTCCTACTTGCATGGCCACACGGATGTGTAGGTTCTACTAGGCTTGCTTGGATACCAGAGGGTAAAGATATCACCGACTTTGCATTCTGTGGGCGGGAGTTGACATGGGATGAACACGTCGTTGGAACTGTTTGACCAGGTGGCCGCAGGCGGTTTGTCCCTGGAGGTCTTTGAGCCGCAATTGAGATTGACAGTCTGTGTGCAAGCTATGACATAATGCAGTCATTGGAAGTCAGGCGTGTTGCCGGACATCTGAAACTTATTCTAAGGAAACAGTCATCGAACATGCTGAGCATTAGATTTGTCCAGACACGGTTCTTCGGCCCAGGACTGTCTCTTCGAAGACAATGTCCCAGCAGAACCGGGGGGGACAATTGGCATAACAGCTCTTTGGCTGGATGTTTTTCTTGCTGATTGTGGTCACCAGGGCAGCCCAGAAGACCGAAAGGCTCATCGAACCACTGCGGCACGCAAATTTGAGCTTGACATCTTTCGGTATTTAAGATGATCGGGGCCAAGCTAATGTGGCTAATAGGACTCTGTACCTCGAAGCTAGCCCACCATTTGTTTGGGAGCTCATTTGGGGCGTAGTTGGGGGGACACTGGAAGCAAAAAGGTGCTCACTGCGTATCCCTAGCTTCCCGTCAAAGTAACCGCCTCGACTTGGTTGACCGATGAGAGCAGAGGGGTGGTAGCCATGCTGATTGCAAATGGCAACAATGGAAAAGAGTGATATCGGTCCTCACCTTGCCATGCCAGTATTTCTTCTACTCCAACCACAACTACAACTGCAGCTTATATGCAAAAGCAGGCCACTGCTTCGATCGTTATGAAGGTAACATATTGCCGTTGGGCTCAGGTGTCCTCCGATACGAATGCGCCTTCCGTTTTCCGCCGTGTTGTTTTCCGAAACAACGGGCCGCTTATCTCAGTTTGGAGTCGGGGAGTGATGGATGGGGCTTGGCTTTGGAGATTGGGGTCTGCGCGTTCCCCAGAACTGCACTAGTGTATACGATCTGTGGCTGCAAGTTATTCTCCATGCATGGCGATGTCCGGGCACTATCCCTTTTCATTTCGTGGAAGCACAGTCCCCGGAATACTAAAGCGAAGAGGCTAACTTCGAAGAAGCTCAATATAACCCCTACATAATCCCAGTCTCCATTTCATTTTCCGTTTTCTTTTCCATTTGATTCTCCATAATAGTAGTTTCCAGTTTCTTTTCCATTATCCCAATATATCCCCTATATAGCAAGAAGCTATCAGGCAAGCTGTGGTCATGAAGGCCTCCAGTCAGCCTGATGCCGTGAACCGACTCCTCATCGAAGATGTGGTCTTCGAGAATAATGCTGCAGATGATCATGGCGGAGCCATGGAAGTCAATGCTCATTCTGAAATCTCCGCACCTAGCTACCAATGATCAGGATCAGGTTGTACGTGTTTTCCGGTCTTGAACGTCCTCCACGATTCACTAAGAAGCACCGGCAGCTATGCTAAATTTCGCTGCGAGACTAAGACCGGGAACAACAGCAGGAGCAGCGGCGGCAGCAGCAGCAGCAGCAGCAAGAAGAAGAGCAGTAACGGCACAAACAAGGACCCACGGTGATAAGACCGACAGTCTAGACAGCAATCATCATAACCAGCTCCTGGTATGGCGACGTATGAAGCAGAGGTACGCAACACGATTTTTCGGAGGAACTCCGCGCAGGGGAATGGCGGAGCACTTGCCTTCATGCCTACTGGGCCAGCTCGCATAGAGACTCTTGGACAGCATCATTGGATTTTCGGAGCAGCTCTCAGCCAGAATGGTGCTGAGGACGATGTTGTTGCTCATGATGATGATGATGATGATGATGATGGTCATGACGGTGCTGATGACGTCGATGATGGAGATTTCTGCCAATATATTACGATGATGGCGATGGCGATAGCAAATCTGATGGGGATAGCGGTAGTGGTGACAGTCATGACGACGATGATTATTCGATGTTGGTGTTGCCGAGGGCCAAACTATTGGCCGAGAATAATAACAACAAGATTAATGCCCGACCTCCACCATCCGACCAGTCTGGGATGGATGGAGAACTGAGGGGCAAAATGACGTCCAAGCCAACCTATGTAGTGAGGATTTGATGGATGAAAGCTTCCCCAACACCATGGACAGCAAGGGTGCTTCGGCACTAAGGATTGAGAGCTCTACTTTCGAAGGTAACTCAGCAAACGGACAAGGCCGGGGGAGGTTGTGCAGGATGTTTCCATGTTTCAAGATTTCCCCCAAAGACAAACAAAGTTGAAAGCGATGCTTCAAGGACATACAGCTTCATTCTGCCACTGCCAATGGCAGGAACATGCGGCTTTCAGTTGGCAAAGCGTGTTGAGCTTCTGAATGTGTGCGTGTGAATTAAATTATCGTAGGGGGGTTGATGATCATGATATAAATTGTGCACGTGTGCGACCGAAAGCAAGCGTGGCGGTGGCAGCAGCTGCAGCAGCAGCCTTCGATCTCCGAAGTGCAACGCTCTGCCCATCCACGTTTGCAAAAGCTGTGTTTGCGCACCAGATGCTGGACGCGAAGTATCCAAACCTGCCGAAGACTGGGCGCTCACAATACTTGTTCCTCCATACGCTAAGTGCTCCCATACTGGCAATAAGTGGAAGGATTCTTGCAGTTGATCGCTGACGCACATCTGAAAAGCTGAAGTCGGCCTGAGTCAATTAGGACCTCTAATGCGTTTGTGATTCTGAGTTGTCCACTGGAAGCCCTGCCTCAACGATCCCATTATGATTGCCTTGCGCAAGGTGGTGGGATCTTCTGTTCTGAGCTGGCTTTCGCGCAAACGACTCTGATGCTCAACAATGTGGATATTGTGAGCAACGAAGCTTTCGGAAGTGGAGCAGGTTTATCTTACGATTGCAATCTGTTGCACATGACCAATGGCAGCATTTCCAACAACAATGCCATCTCCGGCGGTGCTCTAGAGATTGGCGGTAAGCTGGTATGCGGTACTGAACCTATATTCAGAGATGTGGCTTTCAAGGGCAATTCGGCCACAACTGGAGGCGTTGCTTACTTCAGGACATCGTATCCATCCTGCGCCATCCCAGTTCTGGCAGGCGAAGACCAAAGATGGAACATGTCCATGGAATCTGCTTGGTATTGGGATGATTTCGACGCCTTTGTGATGGATAACTCGGCCGCTCTTGGAAGCCTTCAGGCAACATCTCCAGTAGCTATCGTCGGCAGTGGTTGTGCAGGTCAAGGCTGCGAAGCCAGGAGCCTGTTGAAGATTGATGGCTTTCCTGGCTTGAGCTTGTCCTTCGGTGCGATGCTGCTGGATAGCTTCAATCAAGTCACCATAGACGACACGCTGCAGGTTGAACTGGTAACATTGCCTGGCTCGACATGTCTGTTGGATGGAATCTTACAGCATCGCATTACCTATGGAGTGGCTCAAGTGCAGTCAGTGAAGATACTCGCAGAAACCGGCGATTTGTGGAACCCGATCTGCAAAATCATGGTGCGTCTGCCACTCTCCATCATCTCGCTCAGAAATGTGGCACCGTTGGAGGTCCATGTGCAGATGGGAATGTCGGCAATGGATTGCCCCCCTGGCTGGATCTCTGCCGAAAATTCTGAAGTGGCACATTCTGCCCGCGAGTGCCAAGCATGCCCAGCAGGCAGCTTTGCCCCTGCTCGTGCGGCGAGCTGCACTGCCGAAACCTCAGAAATGGTAATCATAGCGATGCGGAGGGCATTTATTGCTGCATGTGCTTTGCACATCTGTTCCTACTGCTCCCAGCCCTGCTGCAAGTTCAGTTGCCGAACATGCAGAGCCAAGGCTTGTCCAGCAGGTCGGTTCAATCAGGATGCAGGAGCTGCCGACTGCCTCATTTGCCCAGCTGGTTGCATGGCTGAGCCGATTTTGCTAGGAACAGCCCAGTATTAACTGCAATTGATCACGAGAGCGACGACGCGACGACAACAACGATGCTGTTGGAGTTGTCGTATTTTGCGAAGCATTGTATAGGCAATAGATGTAGTCGGGTATGGGTCATGGAAAGGTAGAATAGAACTTTTTGCAGATGATGCGCAAGCAGTTCTGAGATACAAGCACTACGGATGCGACCGTGATGATGTGATGATACCTGTCACGGTTGAAGCTGGAGCTAGCTAGCTTGGAGACCCGAGGTTACGGGTGCCCAGCGGGGACGAGCATTCCGGCCCCCTGCCCCCGCGGCAACCTGGATGAACTAGAAGAGGTCAGCCTGGTGCGCGAGTGCGCGACAGCTTTGCTCAGCTAAAGAGGGATGAAACGCAATTGTTGCAGCGACCTGCAGTGTCATGTAGGTAGCTAATTGCCTGACTTTCGTGACCACGCGCATCAGAATGAGCTTTGCCTGCTCCATCCAGAGCGCTCACATCTGAGGATACTATCAAGATGAAGAAGGTGGAATGAACTGCAAACGCTGTCCTTCTGGAACATACACAAATGAGCTGCTCGGAAAAGAAACTCCTGACGTTCAGGAGCAGGCAAGCCTCTCACACGCCTTTCTTCGTCAAAAGCAGACAGCCTGAGGACGGCCTCCGCAAACTTCATGGTGTGCGGCCTGGGCATGATCACCGTTGAGACTGGATCAGACTCGGCATCTCTTTGCCTGTGCGCCGATGGCCAGCCCCGTGCTGGCACTGAGGTTGCCAAGCCGTGCTGATCGTGAAAGGGCCTGTGTGGGGTGAAACGCCAGCTCCCAATGCAGTCTTGCACTTCTTGATGCATCATGCTCTCCTGAAAGTGTGTCCAAGTTATCCACCCGATTCTTCCTTGGATTTCATGGGTGCTCATCTCGTTACAGGGTGCCAGGCTTGGGGTCAGTGGAAGTATAAATTGGGATATGATATCTTTCTTCTGCACTGGCTTTCGTGAGGATCTCCGATGTAAGTGGAGGGAGCCCGGCGGGATACCAAGCGTGGCGTAGCATCAGCTTTGTGTTTCAGAGCTGCCAGATCCAGTTCGCGAGCTCTAGGCCACTATCCGCAGGAAATTCCCGAGAAGAACCAGGGTAATGGCCCTCAACTCCAAGTGTTTGAGCTGCCACCAGCAAGGTTCATGGTGAATGGAACTGGCTGCACATCATGCCCCTCTGGAATGCTACTTGGCACGAATGCCAAGCAAACACTCTGAACCCCCTAAACTGCTTGCGCTCGTGCGGAATGTACGAGGCTGTGCGAAGCTGGCTTGGCACCACCGGTGCAGCAGGCCAGAGACTGTCCCACACACCTAGATTCGACCTAGATTCGGTTGCATATCTCCACCTGGGCTAACAACAGCCTTTCTAGGTACTGGTAGGCCCTACCACTGTGTGGTCCAAGCAGTCTTCTTGGGCATGTGAGGCGGCGTAGTAGCCGCATGCCAGATGGATCTAGAAAGGCCCGTATCTTGCAGTTTGAAGGCTGGCTTCTGGGCAGAGATTGAAGACGCCAGCCTGGGGCTCTACTCGGTGTTGCAGTGCCGTTTCTTGGATCTCATCTGATCAGCAAACCAAACCTCGACCGCAACCTCAGTTAAGCTATCCGAAGCTGCCACCACATAGCTTGACAGTCTGTATGATCCTTCCCGAGGCAGGGTGGAGCTTGGTACACTTCTTGGTTGCGCAGAGTATGCATGCAAACGGGCTGCTAGCGCTAGATGACTGGTTTTGTGTGTGGTCCTTGATCCGAGGCAATGTCCTCGAATGCCCGCAAGGCACACCTGAGCTGTGTGCGCCGGGGCGCAAAGGTTTGGCCTGCAACAATTGCTTACCGAAATACTACCCGACCGGCAGTGGAGACTGCAAGCCCTGTGAAGGCCATGACACTATAGGTTTCTACATAGGAATGTTGCTGTTGTGGTGCGCAGCTGCCATTTTATTGAGAGTGATGAACATCGACATGAACCAGTCCAGCTTGAGCAAGCTTACCATTGTCGCCGTCGGCAATCAGCTGGTCATGGTCATTCAGACCTTCTCTACGATCTCCAAGCTGCGTATTGCGTGGCCGGAGCCTGTAAAATCCTTGATTGAGCTTGCGGACCTCATCATGACACTGGGATGTTGTTGCTGCCTTTTTTGCCTTTTCAGCGTGACGCTTTGAGTGCCTGCATTCGGAAATTTGTTTCTGTCGAGCTCAGGATGATCAACCTGGATTTTGTGAAAATTGCTTGCGTGAGCCAACGTGACCACCCCGTTGTGTCTTGGCAGCACATTCACGTTTCCTTTCGTGGAAGACGGGCATCGCAGGAGCATGCAGGAGCTATTGGGCTATTGGATGGCCCTGATCTACCATGCCTTCTCAAGCACGAGCTCAGTAAATATCAACTTGTGCAGTCACCGGGCCACGCCATCAGTCATGAGCATTCTGCGAGAGACTACTCTTGATGCAGGAAGCCTTGCATCATCCCGAAACTACTGTACATATTGTACATCCTGGGATTGAGGGCACCCAAGAATGTGCAGTATTTGTTGCATGAGTTAATGTGTTGTGGCAGCGCAGGCTGTAGTTGTGATTGGCAGGTCAAGCTATTGGGCCAGCTTTTGGCATTTCCAGCCCTGGCCTTTGGGCTGTGCAGCATTTGGTTGATCCAGACACTCGGCTTTGTTCTGGCTCGAGCAAGAGCGGGGATAGCTTGATGCCTCACTACATAGCACAGCTGCAAGTTGTCACTTTCCTCTGCCAAGGAAATACTTGAGGCGGAGCATGCCATTGGATCACCTCATCAACGTCGCATACTTGCATGAAGAGCCGCACCTAAGACCATCTTACTCTTGTCCGAGAGGAGAGACGCTGTTATCAAAAGTTGCTTTTTCGGGTTTAAGGTTCAATTCCAGGCTCCCATGCTAGGCACAGAGAGGGCTTAATTTTCATTTGCATTGAGGTGCTTGGCTTTATTCTCTTCGCTTTCTTCTTGAGCCTGACACTTGCGTCTCTGCTGACGCCCGGTTGCATTCTCATCGACAGGGGTTTTGGCAACGCGCATACCGCCTCAAAATCGTTAAATGTTAGCTCAAAGTCGCATCTGACGCGTCTGAAATCCAAGGCCGTTCCAATGCATCGCGAACCCGAACGGTACCAGCTCAATGGCAAACAATCCGGGAGCCACTTCGCGCTGATCTAGGGACCCCTAACTTAGTCGGCGTGGGTCTAGCAAACTGGTTGGAGCTCAGCCACTATACAAGCCAAAAGCTGTTCAGATAGATTGTCACGTGCCTCGTCGCTCTGTGGCTGTGCGCAACTATCACGCGAACGTCTGGATGCCACGTGACATGTGTCCGTCAGTTTTGAAAAGCGCGTGACATCCAAAGGTCTTGTGCTACCAGACGCCGGACCACATGGTGCTCGTTGTGGTTGCGGGTTGCGGATTCTCTGAGGTGATTAGCGGGCAGCTGCATAGAAATTAGATTTGAGATGCAATAGCTATCTGCTAAGTTTCAAACCCATGAATGTGAAGGTCGACATTGCTGATAAAGTCTATGATTGTTTGCTCCACAGAAGCGGCCACCCGAAGCAAATACCCACAACTGGCCCAGGAATCCTTTTCTACCCGGTGGGTATCATCGCCTGGGCTGCCTGGACCACATACCTCTATCCATCTTGGGCGGCCACAGGACACCAGGGGCTTGATAAAATCGAGGGCATCCATGCGCAAGAATCTACTGGGACAGAAAATTTGTGTTATGCACCAAGACGCTGCATTACTTCGAGTGGAAGCTACTGCAGCTACAGGGTAGGGAAGATCCGTACTCAGTGCATCTCAGCGTTGTTTGATGTCTTTTCCTGTTTGCAAAGCATACGCTCGCAGGAAAGGGCCTCACACTGCTCTACCGCTATCGCTGCTTCTTCCAACGCTTCACTCCTCAGTGCCCCTTGGATCTACTTGGCAATCCTCAAAACACGGCAAAACCCAATAAAGGCATAGCGGGTGGCTCGCTGGCTTGTAGGGAAAGGGCCTCCATTGTCTCTCGCCTGAGGCTACTTCTTCGGCCTGTTCATTCTGTTGCGGAATTTCTTTTTGGCGCTGTCTCCAATCATTCTTGCATCTTGGAGCAGCAAGCATAGCCAACACCTAGAAGTCTCGGCCACATTTCGTGGCCACCACGCATCAAGCAAACATCTTGTGCTCCTTCTCAGGTCCCCATTCCAGCCCTACAGATTGTAACAGAGCCTCGGCTGAGTTTGCTTTGAAAGTGCTTGTTATTCGCAGCGGACGCTTGTTTGCTCAATCTCCTGTCTTGCAGCCAGTAGCTGCTGGTGAGGTTGGCACGATGTTGCTGATCAGCATGGCGCTGCAGATACGGTTGTGGCCGTGGCGTTGCTCAGCTTGTTTGGTATTCTCGGTTGGTTGCTTCAAACCCGACGACCCATGGATAGATATTTAACACAAGCACAATCACATGTTCGAGCCATCCCGGCCGCCTGTGAGACGTCTCTGGCAACGGTTGGCTCATGCACGTCATGTGAGAGGTACACACGTGGCTAACTTGGCCGATCTCCTCATGATGCAGCCACTTGGACAGAGCGTGGTGATACTTGGGCCCGACGCTGCACGCCGCCGAGGGCGCAGACAAGTTGGCTTGGCAATTGGATGCTTAAGCTACAAGGGCTTCGCTGCAAGAGATGTTGGGGTATCGCAGGAGACTTTCCGATTCGATTTTGTGTGGCCCTGCAACGTAGATATCTCAAGTCAAGCTTGAGCAAGGTTTGTCATCGTCGTCCTTCTGGGCGTCTCGCCTCTTCTGGAGTCCAAGCTCAATTGGATTTGTGCTGGGAGGGTTTGGTGTCGAACGTCATGTTCAATGCTTGCGGGTGAACATAGGACCTTTGGGACGTATTGTGCCAGCATGTGCGGAGCGGCTGCTACAGTCCAATGTTCTTACTTATGGATTCCCGCCGCAATTTCGAGGGACATCATACCATTGAGCTTCAACTGGGTTCCGTAGGCACACGGGCTTGGTTTAAACCCCATTGCAGAAATTTCAGTAAGAGCGGCCCTACTTTTCAGATTCACTGTAAGACGATAAGGAATATCAAATAGCGACAAGGTTTTGTATTTGCAGGATTAGCATGGATTTAGGAGCACCCGCTGTAAGGAAAAAAAGGTCATGGCCACCTGTGCTTGCGAGAACATTTGGGGTGAGAAAGCAAGACCAGTGCGGACTGCGTGTGTTAGCAATCGCAAAGGACATTGACAAAGCCGCAGCCACCACGCTGCTCGGGACATTGCTTTGCTACTTGGCTTGGCAATCCAGCATGGCTAGGCCAGGCATATGGACATCTTGTGGCTGCCCACGTGTAGGTTTCACTTTTTGGAAAAACCCTGGGAGAGGAGAAGGCAGCATGCACACAGTGCACACTGGAGCTTTTCAGGTGTTCCTGTGTTGGCTCCGCTGGTCATTGGCCTTGTCGTCGTGTGTCCTAGCTGCAGCGGGCTCCGCCTCGGTTTGTCTCGGTATGGCCGGTGAGAGTAGACGCAAAAGCACAGACTTCTTCAAGTCATTTACGTGAGACGCGACGCAACTTTTCGCTCCGCGCTACAAGCATATCAGCTGTTTGATTGCTTCTGGCAGCGGCCCCTGCCCGGCGAGGATTTGGATGGGGTGGCGATCCGTAGAGAAAAAGGTCCGCTATGACGTCTTCCTCTGCCATCATAAAGGCCAGAGATCCATTGTTTCTTCACATTCTTACGCTGGTAGCCTGGTGAAAGCACCGGTGACTAGGTGACTAGGTGTACATAGCCATGACCCCCATGAGGGCAGGGCTGGCTTGCACCTGTCATGGTGGCTCTTTTTAGGGCCAGTTCATTACGTTGTGTGCCTCGTGGATCGTGTTGTGTCTAACACACTCGTGGGAGGGATGCCAGTACATTCTGTCTGCTCAGGTGGTGCTGGAGCACTCGCACGCTACATCAAACTCAAGCACCTTGGTGGAAACTCCTCAGGTATCCGTTCAGGAATCGCGCTTTTTGGTGCTGCTGTTGTAGGACTTGACAGGACGGGGATGCTGTCACCGAGGGAAAGTGCAGGGGTCCAAAGCAACGACCGCATCAGCAAGATTCCAAGTGGATGTATGTTACAGCGGCAACCATGACGTTATGGCTGCTTTCGGTGTCCTTGGTCACCTTTGCTGGGATGCGGAGGCTTACAACGCACGCGGCATGCAACGTCTTCTTGGATGCCGACTGCCTGGAGAGCCTGGATGGCCTCTTGTCACGCCACAGTTGCTAATCAATGGCGAATTGTTGACTTTCGCATTCTTCATGACAGGTGCGCTTCTCTAGAAGCCCTCCCCATTACTATTGCTACTACCAGAACTGCTGCTGCCGATGCTGCTAAACATGAAAACGGCTAGCAGGTGTGTTAAAGTAGCATCACGACACTGCCCATGGCGGCGAAGAATCTTTTGGATGCCATCAAGCAGCTAGCTGGTGGAGGATCAGAGGTTCTTGGAGTCTTGATGCAAAGGCTGCCCAGAAGTAACGGTAGACTGCCACACAAACTACAATTGCCTACTGTCCAGCTGCAACCGCCCCTAGCCTACCACAAAGTATTCTTTCCTCCGCCGCTCTTGCTGCTGCGGCGGCGGCTGCCGAGCATTTACCACATGCTCACATGCCACCACTAAATTAGGTTGCTCTGTGCTACGCAGCATGTTGGTTTCAAGGATCTTTCTACGTAGCTCTTAGCTGGTATTTCGGCCGCTGCTATACTGGGATATGTTCTTGATCCCAGCCTGGTCGCCCTCCGCACCAAGACTTGGGTTCCCAGAACCCTGGCATATCCTGGCATCTCTTTAGTGACGACAGCAAAGATAGCAGTCAGAGTGGCGGCCGTGTCGAAGACCAGGTTCAGAATTCCCAAGTGCGAGCCTTGAAATCTGAAAGTTGCTTTTCGTGAGACCCCAGTGCCAAAGCAAAACAGTCATTTAGATGATGCTGCAAACTTGGGAAACCTCGAGCCGACCAGTCGCTGGATCCAATGCACTCCAGAACAAAGCCCTTAAAAGGGAGAGCAGAGCCTCACGAGCTTTTGAAGGCTTGGCCACAGATTCTCACCCACTGCCGGCCAGAAGCAGTCTGATTGCTTTGCCGAGGTCTCTTTGACATTGTGAGAGACCAGACCAAGAGTTTCGTGGTCATCTTGACCCAGGAGACGCTGTGGGAAGACGTGGATTGCAAGTCAAAGCTTGTGCCGTGGCTTGTTCAACCTGATGCCGCCCTCTCATCCAAACACATTTGCCATCACTGGACTGGCAACATCACCTACAACGTATTGTCATCATTGGTAGCGTCGAGGCACTCAGTGTACTAATAATTGTAGCAATAAATACCACCACCACCACCACCACCACCACCACCACCACCACCACCACCACCACCACGACTACTACTACTACTACTACTAAAAATAATAACAATAATAATAAAGATACTTATTAAAATGAGAATAATGTGGGTGGACAAGCTCGCGACATGACAGAGCTCGCTATAGTGTCAAGAGAACACGGAGCAAAGATCGGCCTCAGAGGGTCTTCGAGGTGTCCAACCCCACTCTAGCTGTCCACCACGATTTGAACATTTGGAGGAGCTCTTGAAAAGAATGTGGTGTGCCGGAGAGATCGTTACTGCGCACAAGAGCCTTCGCTACATTACAAGCCCATGGAAGTTTGTGGACTATTGCGGGAGTGCTCGAATGTGCTCGACCTGACCATTCAGGTTCAGCTAGTGCAGACATAGGTGTAAACATGTGTAAACCAAGTGTTGCATTCCAACTTGTCCCTGGAGTAACTTGAAGCTCCGTTATGTAGTGGTTCATGAAGTTGCAGACTGACTGACGCCGATTGACCACTGCCTATGTTAAGCCTTTGAAGCCTTGGCTCTCAGGAATGCAATTCGGACTGTTCCAGCCCCTTGGATTTTGCAAGACTCTGGGCAAGTCGAGAGTGCGCTTAGCGTTTGTGTTGTGCCGCGACTGATGAGAGCAATTACAGGGAATTGGGTCTGCCGTCCAGCTCCAGTGCAACTACCCCAAGCAGGGGCTGTCTCTTCAAAAGCTCCAGTCTGTTGTCTGCATGGTGGGGCCGAGCGCAATTGCTTAGGTGAAGTGTGATGGCTTCGTTGGCTACACTGCAAGCCAGATTGATGCCGTGCCACAGCTTTGGTCTGCTGATCAACAACACGCCCTTGGCTGCAACTGGGCTGACTTGGATTTTCTTCGAGTTTTCTTGGGCGTTTAGACCCTGCATCAAGTTTGCTGCTTTGGTGCAAAGCATCCGCAGACATCCGCAGGCCACGGCATCAGCGCATCTGATGTCATTGAAGCATACAAAGTCTTGCTGGCGCTTCATTGTGTCGACATGCCACGCTTTGGTAAAGACGATGAGAAGCATGTGCCTTGGCCCGGAAAGATCTGTGGAGCCCCCTTTGTGAGGACTTGGTCCCATCTCCAGACTATATTCCTGCTACAACATGGCTTGCCAAAGACAGTCTCTGCTACTCTGCTACTGGTGAAACCTGAAAGGCAGGTGACCAGTAATGCGAGCTACTGGCAGTTTTGGCACTACTACAGTGTCTCCACTTATTCTGCTGCTTGTATGGTCAAACCGAGCAAGCAGACCGTCGGAAAATGTCAGACGCATTATTGCTATTAGCAGTGACAATTCCAAGATTGGAGTCAGGCACTATGTTGGAAACCAAGGCTGAGGCGAACACTGAAGGGGATCCATGCACCCACGAACGTCAAGGAATAATTGAGGCTTTAGATGCAGTCTTTGCGCACTCGCCGACAGCTGTGTAGTCGAAGATCTGACGCATTGCTCGAGCTTCGCAAGCGCAAGCTTTTGGCTCATGATCATTTGCTGCGTTGTCAACGCCACAAAAAAACACTAGCACATGCTAAATTGAACTGGCTAGCCAGCAGATGCCAGTCGCGATCACCTAGGCCTGCATCGAGAAGATCGTGGTGAGATGCGGGCTGTCACGTAAAACTTTCAGTGAAGAGATCGGCGTGACGGCCAAGGCAAAGCCAGGTCACATGTTCTGGGATATAGCCTCAAGGAGTTCAAACAGTTCACAACTCGTCCATGGATCGTTCTCCATGCCTTACTTCTCAAAGTGGGAGCACATATCTTGCTGAGAATTGAGTCTGTTATTTGCGCTGGTCAAGCTGTGAGCATACGCGCAGACAAATGGCATTTCAACCGCAGTATCGTACCTAGCCCTTCTAGTCAATGTTCAAATTCGCTGCATTTAAGGAGTACTTGCTTCATACTGGAGTGTAGATCCCGTACGCTCAGTGCGTTTTTTGATGCTAGCGCATGCTGGATCCATCCGTCCTTGGCTATTCGCGCACGCATCTTTGGCAAACTCCTACAAGTCTCAGGCCAGGATCCTAATGACTGGAGCCGTGGCCGATGCGGAAGCCCTGACTGTCATTGAGATATGCCAGCACATGGTGCAGAACCGCCTGCAAGTGACCTGTGCACTTGTTCGGACGGAGCTCGAGGCCACATCAGAAGATGTTTTCACCTTAAGGAAGCAGTTTTCGAACCACTGGCACCTGGCACTTGCTATTGTTTCAAGCACACCCCAAATTTTGTCCGGAAGCCTAGAGACATGCGCACGCAGGTTCGCTCAATGATGTCCTATGCATCATACTTGGTGGTGCTGCTGTCACGTGGAATGCTCCGCGACCCGTCGTTTGCCCGCCTTCTGCTGGCCGCGACATCATCACCTAATTTCAGCAGCTCTGGGGTCAATTCCAGGACAGCTCACCCGGCCCTTTGGATCCCATTCTTGCATGTTTCTTCATGCACGGTACACCATATCCGTCATCCGGATAGATGCGAGAAAAGCGAGGCGAGAGTTGGCGAGGGAGAGCGAGATCAACAGAGAAAGAGAGAGAGAGTTCTAAAAGAGAAAGAAAGAGCCATTTTGGCTCAAGTCTCCTGCCTCGTCTTCTCCCCCTTTGGGGAAGGGCGGCTGGGCGCCGGCCTGCCTTCCTCCTGGAGGGTTAGCTCTGGAGGGAGCAGGTGGACGTGCGTCTCAGCAGGGGGGTGGTGGGGGGGCGGCTTGAGTCGCATACCGCGACATTTGGAGATGAAGCCCATCAGACGAGCAGGAGTCGCAGCTTGTGGCGGCCTTGCATCGAATCCCTTGACTGGGTCGGTTGGCGCCCTAAACTCGTTAGGCTTGTTGCTGTTAGGCGAGCAAACTTGGGCATAGCCCGCGAGGCTTTTGGGCTTTCTGAAGAGGAGTTCGTGCAACTTGTTTGAGGCCCCTGCTTGCTGGAGGTTTCGTACTAAGTGAGCTGTTGTGCCTCAAGACCGGCTCCCTGCCAACTTTGCTAAGGAACTGAGTGAGGCCGCCTTTGTCAGGTTGGTTTAGCAGAATATCCACCCTCACCCTGGCCCGGGCTTTGCTGAGCACAGCAGCCCTTTGCTGCTTGCTAACTACGCTAAGGAACTCGCTGAGGCTGCCTTTGCCAGGTTGGCTACACAGGGTATTGAGCCAAACCCAGGGCCGCGCAGGGCCATGGGAGGAGCTCGAACAATGCTGTCTGTGTTTCCTTTGAACACTGGGGGCAATGCGGGTGCTTGGCGCCTGACGAACGAGTTTAGATTTGCTTCCCATACTCCCGATATTGTATTGTTGCAAGAAGGACCAGGTTCGGACGAAGCCACAAAAGCCTGGACTGCAACCATGCAGAAGTTGGGTTATAGGGTTAGGAGGGCTGGGGATGTTTTCTTGTTGGTAAACGGGCTTAGCCTTTCCGGGAACAGGTGCAGTTGATGCTCCACCGACGGCAGCGGTTGCCGGAGCAGTTCTTCTCACAGGCACCTTTGGAACATCAAACTTGGGCTTCTTCATGGCCTGTTCCTTCTTTTCATTCTCGGCAGCCCTGTCTTTCGCAGTAGCTTCTGACAAGAACACGGACTTCTCGGCACGCTCTCGCTCATGTTTAATGTCTTCCGAAGTCATGGGCTTCGACACGGTAACGTCTTCTCCGCCCATGTTCGGTGTCATGCGTTGAGCAGCCGACAAATTCACGGTACCGATTGGGGATCTGCGTTCTAGGCCTCTTCACGAAGTTTCCATGTTGGGGGGTAGGGCGTGTTTTTGTCAGGTGAATGGGTGCTTGGTGGGGTCGGTTTATGCGGCTCACCATGATGATAGAGATATTTTTCTTAGAGAAGTTTTGGATTTTGTTGCGGCCAATGCTAGAGGCCAACAGTGGCTTGTTGCTTGGGACTTCAACCTTGTTCCTGCTGAAAACTGGCTTCTCGAAGTTTTGGTTTCCGAAGGGGCTTGCTGTGCTAGGGTTCCGGGGGCTACCAGTAGTCGTTGGGATGGGGAACGCCTTATTGACTATGGGATTTCTTCGGCTCAAGGGGTTCGGGCTTCTTTTGATGGCACTAGGTACAGTGATCACAAGGCTTTGAAGCTTGAAGTTCCTTGGAACGACACGGCTAGGGTTCGCCTTTTAGAGTGGCAAAGGGGTCCCAAACTTATTCCTACGGACTTTGAAGGGTTCCCTCGTTGGCGTGCTTTGGTGGCTCAGGTTTGGGAGGAAGGTTCCGCTAATAGGGAAGCTTGCCGGCAGGCTTGCCGGCAGCTTGTTCAGGGTGGGGCTCAGGATGTTCGGGCGAGGGGGACAATCTGTGGCGTCAATTTTCTTTATGGATTGAGCAAGTTTTGACTGAAGCCAGGACCCGGGCCTTGGGTGATGGTCTGTCTTTCTCGGGCCGTGGTAGGCTTCGCACTTCCAAAGGAGGTAGGCCTAGGATCGTTCGTAAAACTCCTGTTCTTCGGCAGCCTTTTGCGGACAATGGGCCTAACAGGCTTCGTTGCTTACGAAGACTTCAGGGTAGGCTGCGTGAACTTGAAGCTCGTGTTGCTTCTGGCGATGTGTCGCCTCAGCTCAGAAGGCTTGAGGCCAGGGTTCGTAGGCGCTCCTACTGGGAGCCGGGTCTCACTGCTGAGGGTCTAGCGCAAACCATTTTTGATTTAGAGAGGCTGGAAACTAGGACTCGGATTTCTGCTTGGCGCCACAAGTTGCGGCACAGTACTAAGGAATGCTTCAGGTGGCTGCGCGGTTTTTCTGAGCCCGTCAATCATTGTATTTTCGATGATGAGGCCCCGAATGAGGAGCAAGGCCCTGGCACCTGTAGTGCCGCTGAGGCCCTTGCCTGCCTTGTGGGCTTTTGGAATAGGATTTGGAACCGCGAAGCCGTTGACGAGGAAGATCTTAACCTGTAACTGCAGCAGGCCGGACCTCCTTTACAACAGCAAACTTGGGCCCCAGTCACGGCCCTGGAGCTTGTGAAGGCTATGCGCCTGCAGAAGGGTAAGTCGTCAGGACTTGACAACTGGAGTGCCGAGGAGGTTTTGAACTTCCCCGACGAGTTTTGGGAGCTTGCCGCTACGTGTTTTGCTGCGTTTGAGAGTGTGGGTTTCTTTCCTAAGGAGTGGAGTCTCCTTAAGCAGGCCCATATTCCTAAATCTCAAAACGCGGATAGAGAGGACACTTTGTCGCAAGGCTTCTCAAATGAGGCCCATCTGCGTTGCTAGCATTTGGTGTCGTGCTTGGGCCTCGGCTCGCCTTAGAACCCTTGAGGTTCACAGGTGGGTGGAAGGTTCTCCCTGATTTCATTTGCGGTGGCCGTCAGGGTAAGGATGTGTTGTCCTCTGTGCTTTCCAGTGGAAGCTGCCGAGAGTGGCTGCTACGTGGGCACTCTTGATTATACCAAAGCCTTTGACATGGTCCGCCCTGAAAAAGCTTGTATTTTGCTTGAGTATCACGGTTGTCCTGCGCCGCTTGCTAAGGCTTTGGGCTCCCTCTGGGGGTCACAGGGAAGATTTTTGTTTTTCGCAGGGGTCTTGCACGAAGGGCTTGTTCCTGCCGGGTCTTCGCTGCCCCAGGGTGACCCTTTCAGTGTTTTATCCCTTGCTTTGCTGCTAAGGATTCCAGGCCTCAAAGCTCAGTCGCAATTTGATCCTACTCAGGTTTTTTTGTTGACGACCGTACTTTCGCTGCTGAAAGTGCGGATGCTTGTGCCGCACTTTGGGATTTTTGAAAAAGGGAAAGCCAACGAGTGGGTCTTAAGGAGGGTCCAGAAAGGACCGCCTAAGCGTGCGGTTCAGCGCATAGAGGCGCCGTGGAGGCGGGTCGGTGTTGGCCTTACTTGTGCATTGGCTAAGCTCCTCAAGTTGCTCACAGGTCATCATTCTGATTTAGAATTTTCGGCCTGTCTGCAGTTGTTCAGTTCCGTGTGGCGCTTTGTTAGGGCCAAGGGTCGTTGCTTTAGGAACTGGGACACCTCTTTGGTTGCCCAGCGCCTTTATGACTTCTTTGATTCTTTGGGTTTTCACAATCCTGAGCCGTGGGTTTGGGATGGTCCTGCTAGGGTCTCTCTGGCTGCTGGTTCTTTAGGGGTTCTTCACGAGCAGCTGCACTTCATCCGTGAAGCGTGGCGAGCAAAGATGTGGAGGGCCCACGAGGATTCAGGACGCAGAGACGCTACGGGTGAGCCTTACGACGAGGCTCTTGCGAAGAGAGCTCGTCAAATGGCCGAGAGAGGTCAACATCATTTGGCCGTCCTCAGTGGGGCTTATGTGAGCTTGGCCGGTCTTTCGATCATGAAGCGAGATCCTGAGTTGGCATCCTGCCCACACTGCGGCAAGTGGGAACCAAGGCGCACGCCTGGTGGGAATGTCCGGGCAGGCCCCACGCCGAAAGGGGCATCGCTTTTCGTAGCAATGCCCAGCAGTTTTTGGCCTGGCCCACAGGCGACAGAGAGCACGATGATGGGGTTCTTGAAGCTGTTGTGGCTGTTAGGAAAGTTGACTTGGGCATCCGGTATATATAACCATGCCCCTCGTTAGGAGTGTCTTTGGGCTGGCAGCATTACTGCGCTTCGCGCTGTTCGCCGGCCTGTGTGCTTTCTAAGGGATCTTTTGTCGGTTTGGTTCGCCCTGCCAGGATAAAGCCCTCGTGGCCTGAGCTATAAGGACTCGCATGGCCGTATTGCCCTGCTTCGCTTGTTGGAGTACGTGGTGTACGGTGTTGTCTACGAACACACTTGCGAGAGTTTTTAGGTTTTTGAGACAGGGTTGCTTTCCTTCTCGTTGGGCTTTTCTTCGGCAGGGTCACATCCCTAAGGATGGAGCCTGTGAAGGGGATATCAAGGTGTCTGCACTGCGTCCCATCAGTGTTGCCTCTGTTTGGTGGAGGTTGTGGGCGAGTGCTAGGGTTAGGTCTGAAGAAGTGAGGGCCTGGACCGAACTTGTTCTCCCTAACTACGTGGTTGGGGGCAAAAAGGGTCATGACGTGCTGTCTGATGTCCTTGAAATGGAGCATGAGGCCTCTTCGGGTTCGTTTTTGGGGACGTTGGATCTTAGTAAAGCCTTTGATCACTTGCGCCCTGCTAGGGCGGTGGCGGTTCTGCAGCATGCTGGATTCTCGCCAAAGGGCTGGAGGCTTTATGGGGTCAACAGCAGAGGGTTGTCACGTGGCAAGGGCTCAGCAGTGACAGGCCCCAATGGGCGGGTTCGTCCTTGCCTCAAGGGGACGCCTTTTCCGTCCTTGCTGTGAGTTTGGTCATCAGTTTGCCGGCCGTCAGGCTGCAGGAGCGGTATCCTGGCATTAAGCAATTGATTTTTGACGACCGATCCTGGGCGTGTAGATGCCCAGAGCAGTGTGCTAACATCTGGTCGTTTTGGCAGGGTGAGTCGAGAAAGTTGGGTTTTTCCGAAAACCAAGGCAAGGCTCAGTTTTTTCATAGGACTAGTTACGGCAGGCGCCGCCTGAGGAACACGAACTGTGAGCTGCAGGTGACTTATGAGTTTACGATCCTTGGAGTTACTTTTCGGGGCACTCCTAATCGTACCATGTCTAAAAAGGAGAGGACGCGTATGGACGCTGCCAACCGCGTTGCTGATAGGGGTCAGGCCCTTCCAGTACCGCTGCACAAGAAAGTTTTCTTAACGACGCTTACGTCAGCTGCAGTGGCGGCTTGGGGTTGGTTGCGGTGGGCTCCGCCCAAGTACGCGCTGAACAGGCTCCAGGTTAAGTGGAGGGCTTTGGGGATTGCTCTTAGGCAGGCTTCGGTTCCGTTGCTTAAGATCCTGGCGAAGCCTGGCTCTGACCTGGGTTTGCGGTTGGGGTTAGGGTGTTTTCCGCCTTCTGGCATTGGTCGCGTTGGGGGCCTCTCAGGGGCGGGCTG